GTCCCCGCCCAGCAGCGCCCCCGCCCGGGCCCCGCCCATGGCGGCCGCCACCGCGCCCAGCGCCTGCGGGGAGCCCACGCGCACCTGGACGGGGGACAGGTGAGATTGAGGGGACAGGTGGGGACAGGTGAGATTGAGGGGACAGGTGAGAGACAGGTGAGAGACAGGCGAGAGACAGGTGAGATTGAGGGGACAGGTGAGATTGAGGGGACAGGTGGGGACAGGAGATTGAGGGGACAGGTGGGGACAGGTGAGATTGAGGGGACAGGTGGGGATAGGTGGGGATAGGTGAGATTGAGGGGACAGGTGGGGACATGAGATTGAGGGGACAGGTGAGAGACAGGTGAGAGAGGTGGGGACAGGTGAGAGAGGTGGGACAGGTGAGGACAGGTGAGGGACAGGTGATATGGAGACAGATGGGGACATGTGAAATGGGGACGAGGGGACAGGTGAGAGAGGTGGGGACAAGTGAGGGGACAGGTGGGGACAGGTGAAATAGGAACAGGTGAGGGACAGGTGAGATGGGTGCAGGTGAGGGGACACGTAGGGACAGATGGGACGAGTGGGACAGGTGAGGGACAGGTGACATTGAAGGGCAAGGTGAGGGGACAGGGGAGATGGGGACAGGTGGGAGACAGGTGAGAGAGGTGGGGACAGGTGACGGATAGGTGAGGGACACGGGACAGAAGGGACAGTCGGACAGGTGGGGACAGGTGAGATGGGGACAGGTGGGATGAGTGAGGGACGAGTGAGAGACAGGTGAGATTGAGGGGACAGGTGAGGGGACAGGTGAGATGGGGACACGTGGGGACAGATGGGACAGGTGAGGGGACAGGTGACATGGGGACAGGTGAGGGGACAGGTGACATGGGGACAGGTGGGACGAGTGAGGGACGAGTGAGGGACAGGTGAGATTGAGGGGACAGGTGAGATGGGGACAGGTGAGGGACAGGTGAGACACATTGACCACACCCACTGACCCATGCACCGAGCCACGCCCACAGAGGCCCCGCCCCCTCACCTGTCCCACCCCGGCGGGGGCGGGGCTGAGCGTCACCGTCATGGGGAAGGTGGGGGCG